GCCATGACTACTTTTCAGCACCATCAGTTTCATTTACAGAGATTTTTTTTTTTACCTCTAAAGAGCCACTATTGAACTTAGAATTGAAACTCTGAGCATGGAAGGAAATAATTAACCATTTAAAGTCAACATGAAATTAAAATAGACCGTATTTACTATTAAATACACATGATCTTATTGTGCATGATTCTTCAGTGCAAATAATTACAGTTGTCTTCGATTAATCAAAATTCAATAACTTCCTCCGCCTCTAAAGCGCATAGATCACACAAATGGAGAAATTAAATGTTAGCCTACAGGCAAACAGCTTTAGGCATTGTTATTGGTATTTCAACATTTCAAAAGCCTTGCCAATATAACAAAGTGAGTGCTATTTCATATACTCACTTTATCCATTTGCACAATAAGTACTTAACACTTTCTGTTTATGGCATGCAGTTCTTAATAAGAAGATGAAACTTCATTGCAAACCAAAATGTATTGTAATTGTTCAGATTCTTCTGATTTCTCTCTGTTTTCAGGGATACCACGGTACCTCAGTCAGCCGGAAGCCGCGTCGGTGCAGGTGGGTGACAGTCACATGCTGAACTGTGAGGTGAATCCAGACCTGGTGTCTTTCATCCGCTGGGAACAAAACAAAGAGCCGGTTGAGCTGGACCAGAGAGTCTTCACGCTGCCCAGTGGTGCTCTCGTCATCAGTAATGCCACAGAGGCAGATGCAGGCCTGTACCGCTGCGTGATCGACAACGCTGGGCCCACCAAGACCAGTGAAGAAGCAGAAATACAGATACTGCCTGGTAAATAATCCATACTTCCATACATATTCCAATTCCATACTTAGAATTGTATCATCAGACCATAAAGTTGCAAATTAAATTGTCCATGTCTTTTTTTTTTACATTTTTACCAGTGTTAAAAGCTTTATCTGCTATCTAATATTTAGACTGATTTACTGACTGACCTTTAAACAACATTTTGATAACAGAATAATAGTAAATTCATCCAAATTATCCCAGCTAACAAAAATATGTTCTTCTAACTTTTTGCAAAACATACTTTTTTGTCTTAGTTACGCACATTAGAGGAGTCATTAGGGAAATGTTCCAAATGTTACAAGAAGATAATCTGTTCATAACTTTGGAAGAACCTTTGGAAGAAAAAATATAAAAATGTTTAGATATGTGTCTTATATATATGCATTATATGCATTATATATATATATATATATATATGTCTTCCAAACTAATTTCAAGCATTTAACCATAACTCTTTTATATCAAAAGTAGTGCTGTCAAACAAATAATCGTGATTAATTGCATCCAAAATAAAAGTTTCTGGTTAGGTGTACTGTGTATTTTTATTATGTATATATAAATACACACTCATACAGTATATATTTTGAAAATATTTACATGTATATACATGTATATATTTATAGTCTTATATTATATATTAATATATTTAATATATTAACACATTTTTCTTTAATATTTACATGCATATGTTTGTAATTATAATAAATATACACAGTACACACATATTATGTAAACAAAAACTTTTATTCACGATCGCGCTTAATCATTTGACAGCACTAATCAAAAGTTGTTGTTTTTTTATTATTATTATTATTTCATTACAAACATAAATTCAGTCATGTATGTCCAAAACAGCATTTTTTTTCCCTAAAAAGGTTTTATAAGGAAAAAGCCAATTCCCCTGCATTCCTGACAATAAAAATGCAAGACATTGATTCTGATTAAGTAATTGTTCATTCACTACAGAAACTCACACAATTGAGGGGAGAGGGAGTTTTAAAGGAGGCCTTCTCCAGAAGGACGTCCACATGTGGTGTTATCAAAGAGAACAATGTAATTTATGCTGAAGTTAAAGAGGACTGAGCTCATTTGTGGCAGATATTCACCATGCAGATTTATTTTTACAGGCTGTCATGAGCACAGAGTGAGATATTAAAGAACATAAATCAGGCCTGAAGCACCGTCTTTTTCCCTCACTGAGGTAGATAAATAAATAATGAGTATTAAAGAGAAAGCTTTTTAAAAGCTTCAACCTAAAAGATATATACTGCAACTGTTACAATATAAATAATGTAAGTGTAAAGTCCACGAATTGGTTTCCTGCGTGTTCGGCCAAAGTTATTAAATTTAGGTTCAATTCAAATCTGACTCCATTTTATTGTCTAATTTTATTGTCTAAATCTTACACAAGTAAGCCATTTGTAGAAATTTTTCCAATCATTACTATTTGTTATACCAGTGACAGCTGAAAACCTCTGTTAGGAAACCTGTTTCAGTATGTTTTTCATTCAATTTTTTTGCAACTAAAATTACGCTCTTAGAGAAATCATTAGGGGAACATTCTATTTATCATTTTTCAAAATGTTATGGTAACGTTACTTTTAAATGTTATTAAAACTTTTAAACCTTATTAAAAACACAATTTGTTGCGACTAGTGGCACAAAAATGATGCACGTCACTTTTAATTTGTAGGGCTAAATGGTCAACAAGTTCACACTTTCCTGATGGAAAATCTCCATTATCTTGTTGTATAGCTTCATTATCTCTATCAGTATTTTTCTTGTTTTCCAGTATAATTCCAAATGTTTTAACTTGGGTAAAATATATTCAAGTAAAATTCTGGAAACTGTATAATAACAGTAGTCTTAAGTGAATATAAACCGATTTTTTCTTATCCCACTTTTTAAGCATTTTAAGCCCACTTAAAAAAAAAAAAGTTAAATTCATACATAATGAGATTGTGCATTCAAAAATGAAAATTCTGTCATCTTTATATTTATTTATTAGTGCTGTCAAACGATTAATCACGATTAATCGTATCCAAAATAAAAGTTTTTGTTTGCATAATATATGTGTATGTTCTGTGTATATTTATTATGTATATATAAATACACACACATACAGTATATATTTTGAAAATATTTACATGTATATATTTATAATCATATAATTGATATTATAAATAAATATATTTAATATATTAACTTAACATTTTTTTCTGAAATATATACATGCATTTGTGTGTATTTATATATACATAATAAATATACACAGCATATTTTATTACATATATTATGTAAACAAAAACTTATTTTGGATGCGATTAATCGCGATTAATCGTTTGACAGCACTATTATTTACATGTATTTTTGAAAATGATTTATACTTTTGTATTGTTTTCAAGTGAAAATATTTAAACATCCTTAAAAAAAACTAGATTAATTAAACTTGGGAACTTTGTTTTAGGAGAATATATCCTGATTTGCATAGATTTTTCTTACCCCACTTTTTAAGCAAAACAAAAGCAAAACAAAACATATTTAAAGAGATAGTCCACTCAAAAATAAAGTTTATATCGTCACCCTCATGTGGTTCCAAACCTGTACGACTTTCTTTTGTCTGTGAACTAAACAACATTGGAAATTTACTTCTATTATATTGACAGTCAGACATTTCTCAAAATAACTTACTTTGTGTTTTGCAGAGGTAAGAAATTCATACAGGTTTGGAGTCACATGAGGATGAGTAAATAATCACAGAATTTTCATTTTTGAGTGGACAAAAATGTTTGTCAATGAGGTAAAAAACAAACTTAATAGAAAAATATATTCTCTAAAAGAGCTCATAATATTGTATGCAATTTTGCTTTTCATACCTTGTTTTAAGGATGTTTAGTTTACTGAAAAAAAAATATTTTTGAAAAGTTTAAAATGATTAACATAATCAGGAACAGACACTGACTGTGAATGCACTTCTCTGTTTTGTGCAGAATCAGGGGAGGAAAGGACCCTGGAGTTTCTCCTGGAGCCTCAGCATGTGTATAAAGCCATTGGGGAGAGCGTGCTGCTCCCCTGTGTGGTGACGGGATATCCCACAGCCTACGTCACATGGATGCACAAAGACCAGCTCATTGAGTACAGGTAGGAAATGCATCATCAAGCACCATTTCTGTTCCTCACAGATCTCCAGGGTGGATAGATACTCTGCTATTAATGGATCCAGAGCTCTGCACCCTGAATCAGACAGTGATTTCCACTAACAGCTCATTGATTCCTCTGTGTGTTGCCAATGTGACGAACATGAGCTTAGAGTCCCGCTGTGGCAGCAGTGTCCACTTTTAGGGATCACTCTCTGTGTACGTCTGCTGTTCTGCTGGCATACAGCCCTGTCCCAGCTGCCCGAGTAAATAATTAGAGTGACAGCGCCTGCCTGAGAGGTGTAAATGCCAGTCAGGACTGCAAGTGTCTGCACCACACACACACAATCTCTCTCACACCTCTCTCATGAGAAACACTGCCAGGCTGTTCACAGATTAGACCTGGGAAGCCACTCTTTCATGCTTCATTCTCATTAGCTGCTGGGTGTCCAAAGGGCACGCGTGACCCAGAGATTGTGATCAGCCGATGTTCTCAACACTGCATGCAAAAAAAAAAAAAAGTGCTGACGGGGTTTCCACAGCCATAGCCACATAGAAATGTAGTTATTTTTATGGGCTTTATGCCTTTTTAAAGAGATACGACAGTAGAGAGACGACAGGAAAGCACTGGGAGGAGAGAGGGGAGCAGGATCTCGAAAGGACCTCGAGACGGGAATTGAACTCGGGTCGCCGTGAGCGCAGATGCGCTATGTGTCGATGCACTAACTATTGGCGCCGACATGTAAGGAAATTTTAACGTTGTGATAATCAGGCCTGGAAAAGTCTGGAAAAATAATACAAAATAGGGACGCTCTTATAATAAATTACTTTCTTTTTTGTCTAAATAAAGCACTAAAAGCTCAAATCAATTGTGAAACTGAAAAATCTAAAGTGAATTTGGGCATTTAAAAAAATTTTTTATGAGATTTTCTAAGAATACATTTAAAAGTGGTATTAAAGGTTTAGTTGACCCAAAAATGAAAAATCTGTCATCATTTATTCATCCTCATGTTGTTCCAAACCTACAATACTTTCTTTTATCTTCAGAGAAGATACATAAGACACTTTGAAACCTGAGACATTTTTATCCCTTTAACTTGATTCATGATTGCTTTATTTGAAAAACTGGTTTCATTAAAGTTTTTCTTCACCTACAGTATAAACACTGATCAACGCACATGCATAAAGCACATTAAATATTCTTGCTTGACAAGTGAGAACTGATGAACTGTTTTTGTTACATGGACTCTCAGTGGAGCAACAGAATCTCATGTTTCTCACGTAAATTATATTTATTTGTGTTTAAGAGGAATGAAAGTCTTATGTATGGCGTTATTTGAATGACAAATGTCGAGAGCGCATTATTGTAGAGCGAAAGCACATTAATATAATGCGCAAGCGAAAATCTCTCCACTCGCGCGCAAATTTCCTTTGCTCTCACACAAAACCGGACGGGTGCACTCAGATACACGCTGCTCTCGCCTGGAGAGAGGTCGCACACTTAAAACGTGTCTCGCCTCTCACTCAAACTGTGTCCTGTGCACTCGCAAATCTCTCTGTGCTCATGCACTATAGATATTAATTCTTTTCGCACCTGAATCCTAAATCTTCTGATTTAAGACAGAACTATTTAGATATGGGTCAGATGCCCTAATTCCCTAAACCGATACTTACGATTTGGAGACTAAATATAACACTATAATGAATTTTTCATATTTGCCATAACATTACTACATTCTATTCTATGGATTTAATGCATTTGCAGACAATGTAATTACATGTAACTGTCATATAACTGTATATTCACTGTTTTAGAGGAGAGTGCCATTGAATGTGTAGCTAATATTAAGTGGATTTTCATGAAAAAAATCAATCAGAACTGAACAAAACACTGGATTAAAAAAAAAACTCCCAATAAATGTCTAAACAGCGATGCTGTTTATGACATAACATTGATGTTTTATATGAAGTCTTTAGAGCCATAGGCTATAATATGTTGTTTTTAGATAAATTGCTCGGAGACCAACCAGTTGGACAGAGGTTATATGTACAAATCATCCAAGCACCCAATTCCAAGCCATTTCTATAGGCTTACATTTCATTAACATTGCTAAATATTATTAAACTGGAAAGAAATTAAAGATCCATCTTTGATTGTCAAAAGAATTCCAGGTTCAGTTCACTCAGCCAATTAGATTTCACGTAGTATTTTCATCGGTCAGTTGTGGAGGTCTGATTGGTTTAAGTTTTATTTATATAGCACCTTTTAAAACAGTGTATACAAAGTAGCCTACTTTACAAAGAGATGCATATGTGCATTCGCAGAAAAGATCAAAATACAAACATAAAAGAGATATAGTAAAACAAAGTAGCTACAATAACCAGTTTATGTTAAAACAAAAATACAACAATAAAAAATCAAGGAAAGGCCCTGCACAAATCTTGTTTTGAGATTAGGCTACTTTTTAAAAGTGCATAATGATAACTTTTGACAACGTTTAATTCAGGTGCGAAAATAATTCATATCTATAGCGCATGAGCACAGAGAGATTTGAGAGTGCACAGGACACAGTTTGAGTGAGAGGAGAGACACGTTTTAAGTGCTTTGCAAAACAAAAATGAGGGAAAAAAAACAATTTCTGATATTCTGGTCCCTATATGAGATGTTTCTCCTTCAGTGCAACATTTTTTCAACTGTTTTATTGTCCAGATTGCTTAGAAAAGTAATAGCACACCTCTTCTGAACAAGCCATTTATTTTGCGGTATCATTGCAGAAAAGTACAGGACAAGTTACATCCCAAAGTTATGTAGTTAGTTTAGTGGTTTTCTCAAATCCCTAACCGTTAGCCTGAGCAATTGTAATAGCGCTGCTTGCCTTAGTAAACACCACTAATAATTGCCTTAGAGTAAGTTTGTCATAACAATAATTACCCCACTCACTGGCTTGAATGTAAGTATCCCCAGAGTTGACATCTTCACAAGATTACTTCATTAATCAAAAGAACCTGCTCGTGGAACAGGGGCCGAGGTAATTTCAACACTGAATGCACTCTCAAACTTAGATGACTGAAAAAGATGTTTTGTTCTTGACAATTAAAAAGTTCCTGTGAGGTTTCCAGAAGACGGGGTTTGGACTGTCAGTCAGTAATTGGGAATGTTAAATGAAAGAGCGATAGGGAATATTTGTAAGAATGTTTGTATTATCAGACAGCAATAGAACGAGGCATTCGTGCCCCTGCTTGACATATCCGAATTTATGAAAACATGCTTTGCGTGCCACAGCCTCGCCGCGCTGTGGGGATTATCCACGGTAAATGGACGAGTCAGAGTGGCAGAACAAGGGAGAAAAGATAGATGAAAGGGTACAGTGAGAGTGACTGTTGATTGCCTCATATTGGGGTCTGTATGAAGTGTGACTTCAATCCCCCAAACCTTACGACACAATTTAAATATGAACAAAGCGTGTTCACGGTTCCTTTGATCATACTGTGCAATATCTATCACCAAATATGTCTATAGTACAGAAGCATTCGGTTCATATTGTGTGTATGAATATTTTATGATGTAAAGTGTGTCCCTCTTTTCTGTTTACATAAAATAAACTGAATGTAACACAAAAACCCCAAATACACTCTTAAAAATGTTGGTGCTTAAAAGGTTCTTCACAGCGATGCCATAGAAGAACCATTTTTGGTTCCACAAAGGACCATTCAGTCATCTCTTTCTTACCATTTTATATTCTGAAGAACCTTTCGCCACAAAGAACCTTTTGTGAAACAGAAATGTTCTTCAGATGTTAAAGGCTCTTTATGGAACCTTTTAGACAAAAAAGGTTCTTCTATGGCATCGTGAAGCACCTTTTTATTTTTTTAAGAGTGTAACAACCTTAATACTGAATGAGATTCTAGAAATTATTTAGGCAATTTTTACAGTTTACCTAAAATAAAAAATTAAAAAACAGGGTCATTACGGAGGTCAAGATGGGTTTTGGAACAGTGTAGCTGTTCCAGGGTTTGTTATCCACACCAGCTCAGTAAAACTTAGTGAAATACTGATCAAGCGACTAGCCGTTCATCCTGCCCCCTGGATTCTCTGGAACCCCATTTAGAATCCAATTTGGGGTTGATCATTGTCTGCTGCTCTCCCGATCTATAAAGGTCGGGTGAAAATATTGCGGGTTGGCCATTGGCAGAGTTGCTTATCAATGTTAATGGCCTATAATTTCTGCAGCCTTTTGTTCAGGATATGTATTAGCAAGATTAAATGCTGTTTTCAGCTCACACTCTCCTGCTATCAAATTTATGCTGTTGGGAATAGAGTCTGGCCATGTAATGTTCGGCTGAAGGGAGGGCGCTGATGACCCAGCACAAACTGCCTTAGTGAAGAAGAAGTACACTTCTAGCAAAAAGTAATAAAATAGGAAATATGTGACCCTGGACCACAAAACAAGTCATAAGGGTCAATTTTTCGAAATTGAGATTGAAAAGCTGAATAAATAAGCTTTCAATTGATGTATGATTTGTTAGGATAGGACAATATTTGGCCGAGATACGACTATTTGAAAATCTGGAATCTGAGGGTCCAAAAAAAATCTAAATATTGAGAAAATCACTTTTTAAATTTGTCCAAATTTAGTTCTTAGCAATGCATATTACTTTATATAAGTATTAATGCATATAAGTTTTAATATATTTACAGTATGAAATTTACAAAATATCTTCATGGAACATGATCTTTACTTAATATCCTATGATGATTAATATCCAAATGATTTTTGGCATAAAAGAAAAATCTATAATTTTGACCCATACAATGTATTTTTGGCTATTGCTACAAATATACCCCAGCGACTTAAAGGGATACTCCACCCCAAAATGAAATTTTGTCATTATTCACTTACTCCCATGTCGTTCCAAACCCGTAAAAGCTTAGTTCGTCTTCGGAACACAATTTAAGATATTTTGGATGAAAACCGGGAGGCTTGTGACTGTCCCATTGACTGC